AGCTCTCGGCGATCTCAAAGGCGTCTTGCCCACAAACGCACAACAATGTGGCAGCCTTTAAGCCTTCCTCCCGAATCTGGTTTATGCGGAAATACGTCTCGACTCTTGCAACATAAGATTCCCACCTCTCGGGGTGAGAGACGTCGAATTCCGCTAAACGCCCAACTTTCGCCATGATCGAGGATCAGGGTCTTCTTCTGCAGCTGCACGCACCCTCCAGCGATTTCGTACTGGCAGGATAATGCTGACTTCCACGCCGTTTTCTCTTCCGGACTTCTTTGGGTGAGTCTTCAAGCTTTCCTAGCTGTATAGACTGGATCCCATCCTCGTCGCCACTGTTAAGTCCGGAGAATAATGGCGCTTGAGATGAAGCATTTCTAACAAGTCTTTATTCTCTGCTTCCATTCTATGAACAACCCGAGCAGAGGCACGCAGGCCTCTATTTATACCTTCTGATCCCCGGGCAAGTTCAACCAATCATAAGGCGGTATTTTCCCGCCTTGCGCATGCGCACAAGGCCGGCGCCACTCAGTCTGGTCCCGGGCAGCTTTTGCAAATGCCCGGGACTCTTGCAACGTCCCGAGCCTGCTTTTGCAGGCTCAGGACACAACAGTACCCCCTATATTATACCTGTACATTTGATTTTTCTTGCCTAAATGTAGAACCTTACTTTTTTCACCATTGAATTTCATTTTGTTAGATAGCGCCCAGTGTTCAAGTCTGTCCAGATCCTCCTGTATCCTAAGCCTGTCTTCTGGAGTGTTTGCTATTCCTGCCAGCTTGGTGTTGTCTGCAAATTTGATAAGTTCCCATCTATCCCCTCGTCCAAATTGTTGATGAAGATGTTGAATTGCTGTGAATCCTTGCTAGATTGAGTGGCACACTCGTAAATGAATAAACAAATAATATATTTGACTTGCAGGAGCCTGGATATTCACTGGTGGTACCCATTATGGACTGATGAAGTATATTGGAGAAGTAGTGCGAGATAATACTATCAGTAGGAGCTCTGAAGAGAATGTGGTTGCTATTGGCATAGCTGCTTGGGGCATGGTATCTAATCGTGAGAATCTTATCAGAAGCTGTGATACTGAGGTACTGAATTTGATTAACAATTAACATTCAACATTATTTCAGTCCCAACATTACATATTTATTTATTTATTTATTTATTTATTATTTCAATTTATATCCCGCCCTTCTCCCGAAGGACTCAGGGCGGCTCACAACATTATTAAAACAAAGAAAGACCCACACACCCCACCGAATAAAACCAAATTAAAACCAAAATTTTTGTGTTGTGATAATTAAAATTTCTTAAAAACCCAGTTTAAAAATCCTCCCTAGGCCAGGCCCGCTTGTTGGAAAAGCCATGTCTTGAGGGCGCGGCGGAAAGTAAGGAGATCCGGAATAATCCGGATCTCGGGGGGTAGTTCGTTCCAGAGGGCAGGGGCACCCACAGAGAAGGCCCTCCCCCTGGGGGTCGCCAGCTGACATTGCTTGGCCGACGGCACCCTGNCGAACCTGATAAAACGCCCCCCTGGTCACGGCCGACAAATGGTCATCCAGTGCCAGCCGCGAATCCAGGAGGACTCCCAAGTTGCGCGCCCTCTCCGAGGGGGCCAAAGTTTCGCCCCCTATAGTCAGCGATGGTGTCAGCTGACTATGCCGAGGCGCTGGCAACCACAGCCACTCGGTCTTGGAAGGGTTGAGCCTGAATCTGTTCCTCCCCATCCAGACCCGTACGGCCTCCAGGCAACGGGCCATCACGTCAAGGGCAACGTTGGGGTGGTCTGGGGTGGAAATGTACAGCTGAGTATCGTATGGGGGAGATTTACTCATTTAAATCTATTCTATTGCTTCACATCTACACTGATACTTGAAACAAGATCGTAACATTATATAGTATATAGTTCTTGAAGCTTGAACAATTATAGATCTTGATTAATGAAATAACTGAAAGAATATTGCAAATAATGTATCAGTTACAAAACAATCTATCTGCAAACCATGTGGAAAGTCAAATTAGTCTTAGAAATGAATTGTGTAAATTGACAAAATAAGGAAAGGATAGAATAAAACAAAGATTATATTCACACAAAGATGAGCCATGCTAAGTTATAATTTAGCAAAAAAGCTAAAAGAATTAAGGGAAACCTGCATATCAAAATTGGTGACACTATTTTCAAATGCCTGCTTACAAGAATAGAGTTAATAAATGAGTGAAATGTAAACAAAAGGTCCACTTCTTGCATTCCTCCAAATCCTGGCTCCTACCTTCCCATCCATTTCTTCATGGAGAAATTGTTTTTGCCAATGCAAAGAGGCTGATGCCCTGCATATCTGGTAGCAGCATGCATAGGCAACCTCAAGAGAGCCATGCTTGCAGATATTGCAACCAATGCAGCTCTGCTCAGGGTTTGACATTCCAAAAGTTCATGAGCTCAGTTTAGTGTGATTTCTTGTCCAAATGAATATGCATTTATTGTGTTATTAACCTCCTTCATTTCTCAAAATTTGAAAAAGGGTTGCTAAAGATACTATGTAATGCAAAAAATATGATGTTGAAAGGAACTTTATACATAAATATTTCATCTAATTCCCAGACATACTATTCAGCACACTACATCATGGATGATCTCAAGAAGGACCTTTTATACTGCTTGGATAATAACCATACTCATCTAATTTTGGTGGATAATGGAACTCATGGGTATCAAGGCATAGAGACAAAGCTACGCACCCAGTTAGAAAAATATATTTCAGAGCGTATTATTCCAGGTCAGTTTCTAATAGGGATTATTATTTTAGAATTAAGTATTAATTAACACCAAATGTTATAGTTATTTTTGAGGATGAATAAATTCATTTGACTTACATATTGTTTAGGTTTTTTTTTTAACTAGGACAAGTTATATTTAAAAGGCAACTATATTGATGTAACAAGTGAATGAATCAATATATTTAAGATAAAATATTTTCTTTATTGATTATACTGTACAGTTATTCGATGGAACACATGGAAAATTATTTCTGTGTACACTGTGATTTACAAAAGAATATGAGCGAAACTATCAACTTCAGATCTTGAACTCATAGCATGCAATCTCTGAAAAACCATACCCTAAGGAGCCAGAAATTTTCATTATTTGTGTTTGAACTAATTAAGAGAATCATATTTCTCTAGAGTATTTGTGTGGATACATGGATAACAATGCATTTTTGTAATGCTAAGTCAGGTCCTATGAGATGTTATAGGTTGTTGAAAGAAAAGTCTTCATCAGGGTCCAGTCCAAGCTGGGAAGAAACAAAATGGAGACTGCTTTAGAAAGAAGGTTATAATGTATTGAAGAGCAGAAGCACAAGACATGAGGCTCTGGAGCAGCTGACCATGTGTTGCTGGGAGTGGTGGGTTTTTATGCCTTCTTGGGCTTTTGTGTTTGGAGTTCCTGTTCTTGTGGCATGAACTTTGACCTGAGGTTTTGAGTGTGTCCTTTTTGTATTGGTGGATTAATCCTATTATGTCCCAAAGGACATAATGTCCTGCTATTATGTCCTGCTTCTCTGGGGCTGGGGCTGACGACTTACTTCCTGTGTTGGATTTCTTTGGTGAGGGGGTGCTGGTTCTAATTCTAGCACTCTGCTATTGTTAGCTGTCAGTTTTCCTGCAGGGGCTTTCAAAATATTTTGTCTTGAATGGGCTTCTGCCTGGTAGTATTTGCTCATGAATGGGGCTGAATGGGATTATCAAATCTGCATTTCTAAAAGGTGGTTTCCTGAGTTTCTATTAAGAAAAACTGGGCCTGCTTTTCTGCCTTTAAGATCCTTTGGGGAAATATAATATTTTGCCTTTTTAATATTCCTTCAAAATATTTCTTTTTCTTGGGGGGGGGGGTGCTGTCTTCCTACATTACCCTAAGTTTTAAGGTAATGACTTTTTAGATTCTCAGAAATTGGATAGCAAATATCTTTAGAATACAAAGAAATGTTTAAGACATGGCAAAACTAATTAACTGGCATGTAAATCAAGGGCCCGGATTCCTGCTCTTTTCTGGGATCATATTTAGATGTGAAATGTTTATTATGTCAACTGTCCAGTTGGCATTTCCAGAAAAAGAAACTCATGTGACATGATTTTACCAAGAGTACTATGTTTCCCTGAAAATAAAACTTGGGCTTATATTTATTTTGCCTCCAAAAGAAGCACTAGGTCTTATTTTCAGGGGATGCCTTATTTTTTTTCCTGACACCTGCCTTGCCTCACAGCGGTGGCACCAACAGTCCCGTCCAGCAGAAATCTGCGTGGCTGCTGCCCACTTCTGCAGCCACTCGCAGCAGGATGCCACATGGCGTGTTGTGCTGGTGCTGCCACCGCGAGGCAGGTGGGAGAGCTGCTCTGCGTGTCCTGCACTTGCTTACTTCAGGACCACCAGAGCCAGGCCTCCCACTCCCCAACACCTGTCACGCCTCTGCCCCACTTCTTCTGTGGCTGCTCTCTTCCTTTGGACTCCAGCAGTATGGTAAGACCCAAGGGGTTTTTTTTTGGCTGACCGCGGGATCTTCTTGGGAAGTCCATTAAAAGGTGCCCCAGGTATAGCATTCCCCACCTGCCATGCACAGCTGAAAGCCTGCCACTCACAGTGCAGCATGAGAGGCCATTGTCCACCCTACTGGATGTCCTGGCCAGTGCCACCTGATGGAAGGCAGAGGCCCACTCCTCGGCACATGAATTGGCCACAAGGACAGGAGCCTGGGACATTTGGTGAGGTATCCTGCACCACACACCACCCAGGCCAGACCCTGCTTATGCAGAGTGGTAAGAAAGCAGGCTGACATGTGTGTGTGGGTCCCTGTCCAGGTCCCAACCCCAATCCTAACCCTAAATCCAACCCACAATGCCCAACCCAAAGGCAAATCCTAACCCCAATCTTAACCCCAACCCAACCTCAATCCCAACCCACAATGTCCTGTTTTGGCTGCTTGTGCAGGACGGTGCTTCTGCCATGAGGTTTGGCAGGTAGGGGGGAATCTGCCCCCTGTGCCTTGCTTACCATGCCACAGGTGTCCCATAGCCAGGCTTCCCATGCCTTACCCTAACACCCATTCCCTCCAGGGCAACCTCAATGCCTAATCCCAACCCCAACCCCAACCCACAATACCTAACCCCCATACCCCTGGGCAACCACAATGGTGACGAAAAACAAACAACATTTATTCAAAAACAGTCATGTCATCTTCTTTTGCAACATTTTCATACGGTAACTCCCAAACCCCAAATTCTGGTCCGAATTTCTTGCGACTCCATTTCCAGTAGAACCATTGGCCCAATCTCTCATGTCCAGGAATAGAGGTCTCCTTAAATGAGCATGTAGCCTGCTCATAGTGCATTGGCAACACAGCTGTCAGTGATTTTATCCCATGAATTCTTCACCCATGTCACAACCTCTGGCAGGCTAGGCTTCACAAAGTTTCCACACTGATTTCTCTCCATTCTGTGTTCAATGTAGTCATTGATTTCCCTGTGCAAATTGTCCTTGAATGGCTTGTTTATCTCAATATTCAGAGACTGGAGATAGGCAGTCATTCCTGCAGGAATCATTACTTAATCTATTCTTTTCTCTGCAAGGAACTTCTTCATGTCTTTACCATGGTGAGTGCTGGCTGAATCCCAGACTAGCAGACCACTTTGGCCACCTCTCAAAATAAGTGGCAGCATTAAATCGAGCCACTTCCTTATAACTGCTTGTGTGCACCAGGCTTTTTTGGTTTCAAGAACATAAATGCCTGAAAGACGTTCAATCTTATCTTTCTTGATGATTAGAGCTGGGGCTTTGTTTCCATCCAGGCGAATTGCCAAAATACAGATAACACGTGAACTTTCGTAACCAGTGGAAGGAATGTAGATTGATGAGGCACCCCTCTGATCAATTGTTGTTTGAGGCCATAAACACTGCAATTTCATCCATAGCAATCATGTTGGAGAGTTGGTATTTAGAAAAGTTGATGCCATCAACAAAGGACTTGTAGGTCATCTAGTCCAACCCCCACCCAAGAAGGAGACCCTACACTATTTCTGACAGATGGCAGTCCAGTCTATTCTTGAAAGCTTCCAGTGATGAAGCTCCCACAACTTCTGAAGGCAAGCTGTTCCATTGATTCATTGTTCTCACTGTCAGAAAATTTCTCCTTATTTCTAGGTTGAATCCCTCCCTGATCAGTTTCCATCTATTATTCCTTGCCTTGCCTTCAGGTGCTTTGGAAAATAGGTTGATCCCCTCCTCTCTGTGACAGCCCCTCAAATATTGGAACACTGCTATCATCTCTCCCCTATTCCTTCTCTTCACTAGATCAGCCATGCCCAGTTCCTGTAACCGTTCTTCATATGTGTTAGCCTATTTCCGGGTGTGGGGCGGAACACTCGGACCTTTTCAGGACTCATCTCTATGCTGTTTTGAGATATGCAGTACCCCAGGTAATCAATACTTTCCTTATGGAATTCACATTTGGATAATTTGGCATAAAGTCAGGCAGCTTGTAACTTATTTAGCACCACTCTGACCAGTTTGACATGCTCTTCTTTGGTCTCTGTGAATATTAGGATGTCTAAGTAGACAAGCACCCCTTGTAGAGGTGCTCCTAGAGCACTTCATTTATCAGTTGCATGAATATGGCAGGTGCCCCTTGCAACTCAAATGGAAGCACTCTAAATTGGAAACATCCCATGGGGCAATTGAATGCTGTCTTCCACTTGTCCCCTTCCTTAATTCTGACCCAGTAATATGCCTCCCACAAGTCCAGTTTTGAAAAAAAATTCCCTTCTCCAAGTGCGCTAACATGTCCTTCATTAGGGGGAGTGGGTAGAAGTTATTCCAATTGCATTCAAAGATCTATAATCTATGCAGAGGCAAAAAGACCCATCTTTTTTCTCGTGGAATAACATGGGGGCTGCTGTTTTGGGTTTTGCTGGCTGTATGAAACCTCTTGCCAAATTCTTGTCTATAAATTTTTTTAGCTCTTCCAACTCCCGAGGGGTCATGGAATACATTTTCGGCTTAGGTAGTTTCGCTCCCAGTAAGATCTCAATGGCACAGTCTGTGGGTTGATGGGGAGGTAGTTCGTCGGACCTTTCTTCGCTGAATACTTCAGCTAGATCCCGATATTACTCAGGTATGTCATACAGTCCCCCATCACTCACCATTGCTACACCTTCTGGACCTCTACTCCCTTCTGGGGCTGAGACTCCCTCCCCTTACACTGTGTTTTCCTTTTGGGAATCTCAGTTCTCCCATCCTCCAGTCCATTCTTGGGTTCCACTTCATTAACCATGCCATCCCTAAAATAAGGGGCACTCCATTTCAGGGGTCACCACAAAAGTCAAAGTCTCTGTGTGATCCCCTATGGTAAATTGGATGGGCTGCATGGCAAGGGTGGCTGGAACTCCCCCCTGCAATGGACCCATCTAACTGGCCAAACAAAATTGGCTTCTTCAGCCTCCTCACCGGGATTCCTAAGTTCCCCACCAGGGTTGGGCTTATGAAGCAGCGGGTGCAGCCTGAGTCTATCAGGGCTCTTAATGAGACCTTTTCTGGCATCTCTGGGTTAAACAGTTCTACGGCTCTGGTGAGGGGCGCGATGGGTCTCGGTGATTTATATTCATCAAGATCAGATAGATGTTCTCTTACAATTTTTTTGTTTATTTTAACTTTTATTTCTAGTCTATCTTTTTCAGTTATGTTTTTGGTAGACTGGGCTATAATTTCTTTTCGTGTGAAGACCGATGC